GTAAGATGATGATGAGGAAGATGAAATTGTGAAATCTCATTTTATGAATACATTCTACAAAATTGGCAGTGTTAAATTTTACAAAGAAAATTTTATTTCCATGAACTTCCATTTTACAGTTGTTTTGAGTTTGCATGCAGTGAGATTCTTCTTATGAAATCATTAAACCACTGAGAAACCGGCTGCATTACTGAGCACTGTAATCCCCACCTTTGATAGATGGAGTCCTGCAACTGTGCGCTTTTCCTTTGCAGTGCTTACCTTGCTTTGGGGTCTGGCTGGCACTGCAGGCTATTTTTCTCTTCTTGGACCACAGGCTTTTGCTTAGAAATTTCTAGGTTTTCCCCCCTCTTTTCTGATTATTGGCATAATCCCAGTGTTTAGTAGTCTCAGCATGATAGTATCGGGTTTGCTGGTCTATTCCTTTAGATAGTGCAGATGGAAGATAATTGCTCTCTAAAGCTTTGTTTAATACACATTTTCAAAGTGTTACTTAATATAAATTTTCAAAGCTATATGGCAAGAATATATCATCTACCCCTAAAGAAAGTTATTTGTTGCTGTTAATGTCTATTTGGAACAGTTTCTATATTTGATCCTTAGAAGTACCTATAGCTGTCTTCTTCCTGCATTGAGTATGTGTTTGTTTTATTTTCCTCCTCCAATTTGTCATGGTGTACTAATGTATTTTCTTATTAAAATTCCAGTAGTGTTTATGTTAACTATATTATTTAAAAAAAAACTTACCAAATATCAGAAGTGGAGAAAACATAGCATATAGTAAGTTAGTTTTAATACTTTAATGGTCCTCAGCATGTATGTAAGATTTATTGCATTGTGAATGAATACATATACAAGAGATTTTCAAAATAATCAAATTATATGTATTACAGATATTTGTGCAAAATATGGACTAAGTGTAGTTCTGGTTACCTAGTGCTGCTCTGGCAGGAATGTACCACAAAGGAGATCACTTGAACAAACAGGAGTTTATTCTCTTACATTTTCGGAGGCTAGAAGACCGAGTTCAAAGTGCCACGCTCTAGGGGACTGGATGAAAGCCCCTCGACCTTGGGCTTCAGCTCTGTCTCTTGCTCCTGACCCACTGAAGCTAGAGTCTTTTCTTCACTCAGGCAGCAGCTGGCTGCTAAGGCTGACAAACCTAAGGTCGACAAGTGAAAAGGCACAGTCCTAATACCACCAAGCAACATGGCGGGCCACTAATTCAAGTCCAGAAAAAGTCTCAAGATCCGCAGGGCATGACAGGCTGTTGAACAACGATTTGGCTATATGCAGGATTCAAGCGTGCCAAAAAGCTAGAGACCTTCCTCAAAGCTGCTGCTTATATAGGGGAAACAGCCCACTTCCCTAAATCAGCTACTGAGCTGCTCCAGTAGATTCTACCATGGAGTTAATTACCAATTTGACCATGGAGGAATAACTACATCCAGCTGCCCAGCCACTCAACCAGGTCCAGCCAAGTTGACAACAGTCTTTACCACAAGTGGCATTGTGAAAAAAAACTTTTGTTCAGTGCATTATGTGAAGCTAGATATATATGTGAACATCTTTTCATGTTTGATCAGTTTTATTCTTGATGCTAACAAAACCAAGTAAATGAAATGCAAACTGTTGACTGCAATGTAATGATTGAAATTTTTACATGCATTAAAGAGTCAGGGTAAATTTATGGGCTTTTGATAACTGAAGTCTGCTAATATTGCTTGTGTATTGTTCTGTAATTTACAGCACCATGGCCAGTACCATGGGGACAAAGTCAGAGGTGTGGTATAAACTGAGTGTGTTGATTTTCCTCTCTTGGATGTGTAAAATATTAACCCTGAACGTGCTTTCGTACAGTTCAGCTGTTTTTGTTCAGTTCAAGCATGCCCCTCCTTAGCCTACTCTTGTCCTCTTTGGTATGGGTGAAGTGGTAGTATCAGATGTATGAAATAAGGAAAGTTACAATTGCAGAGTCTATATTTTGACACCTATATTACTGTCAACTTCTTTTTCTTTGCCAAATACATTATTCTGTAATGTATCAATTGTTTTTAATCTGATTTAGTTCTGTACAAGTTTTAGATTTTGTACTTTTTTAAATTACATTAGAAATAAATACCTTTGTTTCAACGCCTGGGTCTTATTTTACAGAACATCTTGGGGACCACATGTGTGTAAGGGAGGAGTGCTATGACACTTAGCCCAATTTTGTCACCACTTGCATGCTACTTTGTGTGCCACTCAATCCCCTGTTATGTGTATCCTGAATTTGTGTGTTTTAAACCAGGCTTTGGCTTTCTTCTTTCTCTGCTCCTATCTCTACGCGGGGAGAGACAAGTACTTTAACTTTTGCTGCAGTAGTCAGTAATTTTTACCTCCATTTCAGGTAATAAATCTACTTCTATACTCTGAGCATGAGAAGAAAGCCGAGAACTTAATAGGTGTCTTCTTTTAAGCAGTCCTGTATGAGAAAAGCAAACGTTTTGGAACACGTAATTTTTTTTTAAAAATAAACATGGTTAAAAATCAACATTTCATTGACAGAGTTGTAATATATCAGAAACCAGGTCAGTGGAAGTTTATAGAAATAATTAAGTTGAACTCCTTTTATAAACAGGTTGTGTTTTATTATTATTATTTTTTAAAGTAATATTCCAGATTACAGTCTTGTGTTCATTTCTGTGTTGGTTGTGACATGGCCAGAGCAAGAAAATTCAGTTTCCAGAAAACAGTGAGTTCCTTCTTGCTCCCATTTTTGTAGAGTCCAATAGGCCTTTCATGATTTTGTGTCTACTTCAGTATCCCCTCTTTTTGGAATGTAGCTTATTGTACTTATCTTCCCTTTCATAGCGAAATTGCCTTGAGTTGGCAGAGATCCTTTGATGAGGATCTGAGTGATGGGTGGCCTGTGCTTGTTTTATCTGCTTATACTCTCACTCCTGGTATCTGTGCAATCTTTAGCAGGCAATAGAACAGACATTTAAAGTTTCCTCAAAAAATCGTTAGTGTTTCCACCTATAAGCCTGGTATTTGAAGCAAATGAATTTCTTTTCATTTTACTTGGAATTGCTCTTTAACATTCTATAGCAAAGTTAATTTCAAAATGCCCAAAGCCTAGCTAAGGAGAATTCCCTCATCAGAGTCTTCAAGCCTATCACTTTATCAAGCTGGATTACTCATAAACTGTGTTCTTGGGCTACAGTAGCCCTCTGAATAGGTGACTAAACAGAATTACTATTCAATAGTATGCTCTCACCTTTTATCAGGGGTCAGTGGAAGAGAAGGTAGTATGACAGCTGTTTCTATTAGCTTTCCTAAAACTGCAGTTGAATTCTGTGGTTTATGTTAGTTCTCACCCTTTATAAAGATTCATCTGGTAAAGTCTCAGACTTTCATTCTAGAAGAATTTCCATTTCTTCTCATGAACTGGTTCTTTTATTGGATACTGAGTGCTTTATAGCTAAAAAGCTTCCCACTTTGAGAGGCTTCCTAAGAACCCAATTGATTGTAGCTCAGACTTTCTGGTAAAATCCTTACTAATATTCTTCTCCATTTAATTCATTGGTTCCTGTTCTTGTTCAGTTGGTTTAATGGTTCACTTTAAAATCTCTGGAAAGAGACAGTACATAAATAACCGAATGAAATAGATCATTTAATTCTGAGGTCTTGTATCAGTATCTAACCACACAACAAATTGAGGAAATAATCCTTTTTCTTAAATCTGACTGCTCTGTGTTTTTTTGTTGTTTGTTTCTTTTTAGAAGCAATAGTGGAAAATTTCTAAATGACTACCTCAGGTTAGTGAACCTCCTGTTCAACTCTGAGCATAATTTAGAGTTCCTGCCATATTATAGGAAATGGAAACTGAGACTGGAGCCCTTGCTTGGGATGACATTGCAAACCCTAGAGTTGAGGATGCATGCATATGGGGAATTTAAAAAGTGAAGACATCGGTGGTCATGGTACTCTGTTCATATATTCTTGAGTGATAGCCTTTGCAAGCACAGATTTCTGCCTTTTGATTTTTTTTCCCCCACACAGCTCTGTGTTCTTGATATGGACTTCTCTATCCTCAGTTTTGGGGAGCTCTAGTAGCACAGTGGCTAAGACACTTGCCTGCTAACCAGAGGGCTGGCGGTTCAAACCCACCAGCCACTCCTCGGAAGGAAGGTTGGGCTATCCTACTTCCGTAGTGATACTGCCTCGGAAACCCAAGGAGGGGTCGCTATGAGTCGGGTTTGACTTGACGGCACATAACAACAACAACAGTAACATAATGCCTAAGGCCCTTGACTGCTAACCAGAAGGCTGGCCAATCAAACCCACCAGCCACTCCTTGGAAGGAAGGTTGGGCAATCTACTTCCGTAGTGATATTGCCTTGGCAGCCCGGAGGCTGTTGCTATGAGTCGGGTCTGACTCGATGGCACATAACAACAAGAACATCCTCAGTTTCGCAAAGTATGCACAAGGAGATACTTCTGTTGCCAAATAGTCTTGACATTGCTGAAATTGAAGATTATGAAAAATTCCTTGAAAGTGTTTTCAAATTGCTAGGGCAATTTATTTTGCGTTGCAACGTATCTTCCAGAAAAAATGATGAAATATATAAACTTTGATTTACTAATTTGTGTTGAAAAGGATGAAAGTGCTAAATACCTATCTGAATAAATAGATTATGTGTTTTTTGATGTTTGGAAATTTTCTTGTTCTTGTTGTTGTTGTTAATGTGCCGTCGAGTCGGACCCGACTCATAGCGACCCCTCCTTGGGTTTCTGAGGCAGTATCACTACAGAAGTAGATTGCCCCATCTTCCTTCTGAGGAGTGGTTGGTGGGTTTGAACCGCCAGCCTTCTGGTTAGCAGTCAAGTGCCTTAGGCACTACGCTACCAGAGCTCACATTTTCTTATTACTCAAGTATAATCTATTTTTTAAAGTTAAAATTTATTTTACCTTTCTAAAGATAGAGTCATGAAACATGTTGGCTGTTCTACCACAGGATCCTGGCTACTGGGTGAAGATTCATCACTTAGAATACACAGATGGAGGAATCCTGGATCCAGATGATGTTTTGGCAGATGTCGTGGAAGACAAAGATAAGGTAGGTAATTCTAAAAGTGTTCCTCATTGTTTTCTTCTGTAGAGCTGCAGAGTTTTAAGAGATTGAAATCTTTAACAAATTCGTGTGTCAATTATTGTTAAAAGATACCATCTGTTCGTATTTCACCTGGACAGCCCATAAATCAAAGTTCTTCATCATATGTTTGGAAAAACTTTGTCGAGGTTTCGGAATCTGTTTATGGTGGCCTAATTAGCAGACATTTCACTCCCAGGAGTTCCTGATATGTCTCAATAAATTAGCGTCAGTTGCCGAAGCTTTTGGAGTTCTCTCCACTGTTGTTGGCTGAAGAGCTGGTTCCTGGTCTTTGCTAAATATTCAGCTTAAGTTTGAACATGTTTCAAAGTAGAGAGTACCTTGGGGAAGAAAGTTTTATGAAGAACTATGGTGAAGATTTTTTTCTTAAAATAGCTGCTTAGACACAATCTTGAGTAACTGTCTTGCTTTTATTTGCTGAAGCAAAAAGCACTGAGTTGAATATTCCAACATCTTTGAATATGTTCTGCTGAATATGGAAATCATCCCATTGCAAATATTTTGTTTTAATGGGATTTTTCCCCCATGTCAAACTGAGAAAGGTTAGAAAGATGCAGTGTTGTGGGTCACTGTTTTTGAAATGCATTGTTTATCACTAATTTTGTGTTGGGCTTCTCTTAAAGCAAAAACAAACAAACAAATAATCAAACAAACCCCACTGCCATGGAGTCAATTCCAGCTAATAGTGACCCTGTCGGACAGAGTAGAAATGCCCTATAGGGTTTCCAGAGCTGTGAATCTTTACAGGAGCACACTGCATCCCGCAGAGCAGTTGGTGGGTTTGAACTGCCGACTTCTCGGTTAGCAGCTGGGTACTTTGGCCACTGTACCACCAAGGCCCCTTCAGTGGCTGTAATTTGCCCTCTGAAATTGACTTGTAATTCTTCCAGAGATATTTTGTTTCTACAGTTTCTTCTACTGTGCATCCTTAGCACTTTCTGTATAAGATTTATATTTGTAAACATGATTCTATTATTTTTCTGTGATCTTAGGTTATTTTATGTGTGTGTCTGTGTGGTGTATCTGTGTAATTTTAACCAACTGGACTGGAATCTAAATAAATGATTTATTGAACCTGGGTAAATTTTACATTTTTTCTTTTCTGTAAGATCCTTTTGGCTTATTCACATTGACATTAATCTTTGTAGACATTCTATAAATATATTTTTTTATATTTCCTGCTAGAAATCCATCCTGGTTTGTTTTGCATTTTAATTAGCCATTTCATAAGGGACTTCTTTCCCTAACTAGATTGTAAGCTTTTAGAGGACATGGACCAGGAGAGTTTTATTATTATTATTTTTTAATTTGGTGTTCCTTTCTTAATAGCATCCAGTACAATGTCTTACACAAACTCGATTGTCAAAGAACACTTAGGCAATTGATGATCAGAAAAGAAAGCTTTGCTCTCTGAAGTTGACTCTTGCTGAATATGACTTGGCTGCGTACTTCCTGTTTATTTAATTGGTCCTAAATAATAATGTATTGTTTACTTCCAGAACTACTTAGGAGGGTGTTTACTTTGTTTCCCTCTGTTTTGCTCATAACTTCTCCACCAGGACTATCTTCTTCCTTTGTTATACATTAGGTGTTTGGCTCTTTATTAATGAAGAAGGTGGTTCCTGCCTCAAACTTAACTGATATCAGTGTGTTAAAGAGCTAAAAAATGACAAGCTTAAAAAGGACCAGAAGAAAATGTCTCACCCACAGCCTCATCCACAGACCTCATTACAGAGAAGGATGAGTCCATGAACAGAGTCCAGGGAAATAATTTGTCTCACAGAGTTCTTCTTTTTAGAGTATTCTTTTAACTATCTTTGCAACACACTTCTTAACTAGAATCCATTTGCAAGACATGGAAACAGCTTTATTATATATAATCTCTTTTTTAATGGGACTATACCACCATTACAAAATAAGGTGAAAAAGTGAGGTATAATCAGTAGAAATCCTAATGGAGGATTAGTACTATTTGGGTACAGCTTTCCCCAGTCCCTTAATGCACTTTAATGTTTTCACTTGAAACCTAATTGGTATTGTTTTGCAGAGTTGATGAGAATTTACACTTTTGGTGTTGCCAAAAAAAAAAATGTATTCCCATTTCTTCCTTAAGAAAAAAAAAGTGACAAAGAGAGCATTATTTATTTTTCTGACGTTTCCTCTGAAGTCTTAAGAATTCCTTACAATCCATATGTTTAGTGAAGAAAGAAGATTTTGCCAGACTTCATTTTAATTAACTTTTTTGTCAGTTTAGCTTGTTTTTGTTGTTGTTGTTATGTGCCGTCGAGTCAAACCCGACTCATAGCGACCCCTCCTTGGGTTTCCGAGGCAGTATCACTACGGAAGTAGGATTGCCCAACCTTCCTTCCAAGGAGTGGCTTAGGAAGTAATTATAAATGTTACTTGTAGATTTTTAGTGACATATCAGACTCACTCAGGATCATCTAAACAGTATTGAGCTTAGATAAAAGGAAAAATCCTCTATTTGCAAATAGGCTTTTTAACAATTTCTTGCATTTAGAATAGAGAAAGGAAGCAAGTCCACTGAGTCAGCCAGGATGGATGTACGTCATCTGTATGCTAGAGGTCGCACACGTCAGCTCCTAGAAAAGGCTCTAGCTGCAAAGGAGGAGGAGGGAACAGCACAGACAAACTCAGAATCAGAAAGCAGTACAAGTAAGCTGTGTTAGGCTGGGTTCTCTAGAGAAGCAAAACCAGTAAAGCTTATCTATATATGCATTTGTTGTTGTTGTACATATAGAGAAAGAGAAACTTAGGAAAATGGCTCACATACTTATAGAAGCTGGCATATCCCAAGTTCTTGGATCAAATGTCAAGCTGGAGGCATTTCCTGACTCACACATCTGCAAGGACTGACGAGCTCAAGGTTGGTAGATGGTACACTGGCTGTTGACTCCAACGAATGAGAAATCCAAAATCTCTAGGCTGAATGGTGGATTGTTTGCTCATGGACAGTTGCAGGCAGCACAACAGGATCCCAATCCACAGAAGAGTGTCTCTTTTTCCCAGGATGTCCATAAATGCACTCATTATGGATTGTGCTGTCTGCAGTAGGTAGAATAATGACACCCAAAGATGTACACATGCTAATCCCCCAAACCTGTGAATGTTGTTATAAGGTGAAAGAGTCTTTGCAGTTGTGGATAAATTAAGGATCTTAAAATTAAGAGATTATTTTGGATAATTTGGGGTGGGCCCATTGTAATCACCAGGATCCTTGTAAGTGAAAGAGAGGGGCAAGAGAGTCAGTATTAGATAGGATGTGAAAAAGACTTGATTGACATGGCTGCATTTGAAGATGAAAGAAAATGCCTCCAACCGAGAAATGCTAGACAAGGCAAAGGAAGAGATTCTCCTCTAGAAGCTCCAGCAGGAGCTCAACCTTGTGGATGCCCCGTTTGAACCATTTCCTACTTCTGACCTCCAAACTGTAAGATAATAAGTTTGTGTTGTTTTAAGCCATTGAGTTTGTGGCACTTTGTTACAGCATTAATAGGAAACTATTACACTGTCACACTATTTTAAAACTCTAAACTGATGTTGGTCTTCTTAAGTTCCATACTCACTAGGCTTTAAGAGCCTACAGCATAAATGAACTATATATAGTTCAGATCATTTGATTGCTTTTTGTATTCCTTCAGTATCCATCACAAATTGGTTGTCATTTCACTGGCTGATCCTCCATTCTCCAGGATATCAACATTAAGCGTATCCCTAGTTATGTTACTGTATCATGTAGAAATTATCTCAATGCCATGTCGCTTTCTCAATGCAATATGAAAAGACCATATTTTTATTGTTGTTAGTTGCTATTTAGACAGCTCTCAACTCAGGGCAATGCCATGCAAAATTGAATGAAACACTGCCCAGTCATGTGCCATCCATCGATTGTGGATTGAACCATGGTGATCCGTAGTTTGTATTGACTGATTTTCAGAAGTAGGTCACCAGGCCTTTCTTCCTAGCCCATCTTAGTCTGCAAGCACTGCCAAAACCTGTCCAGCATCACAGCAGCTGTGAGACTCCACCGGCAGAGGGCTAGTGGCTATTCATGAAGTGCATTGGCTAGTAACTGAAATGCAAGTCTCTTGAAGATTAAAAGACTGAAGCTGAGCAAGCCACAGCAAAGCTTATTGTTACTTCACTGATTCTTTTTAATTGAATGTGAGAACCTCTGCACACTGAAATTTTTTAATGATTATTTTGTTTACAAATTGCCATTATTATTTTTGTGGCTTAGCTGTAGAAGACAACTGCAATATAAAACTGAAATATGACAGTTTATAGCTTCTATTACATAAATAGGGCTATTGCCAAATTTTTATTACATATACAAAAGTAAAACTATGTTATACAGTAATGTACAATGGGAAAATTATCTCTATCTTTGAGTAAGCTTTGATTATCACAGGGACTCAGTTTGGAGGGATGCCAGGGGTTCTTGTGAACTTCAGAGTAGGTATACTGATCCCTCTGGATCACATTTGATGTCTGGTGCTCAAATGTTACAATGTCAGTTCAATTTAGTCCCTTATAATGTGTCCTTCAGTAAGTTCCTTAACCTTTGTTAGCTTCAGTTTCCTCGTTTTTGAAACAGATGTAATGTTAGCTCATACGTTGTAGGGTATGTGTAGGAATTTAATAAGGTAAACCATATAATGTTTTAAGTATAGTATGGAGAATAGTAAGCACTTACATATTAGCTGTTATCTTATTAACAATATAATTATCATAGTCATATATTCTTTTTACCTGTGCTTTTTGATTTAACCATTAAATATTTTAAATTTAAGATCTGAAAAATTTTAGAATAGATTTAAACTGTTTTTAAGAAACCTTATTAGGAGTTCTGGTATGATGGCAGACTAGGCAGAAAGACTGCACAGACCCTCTTCAACAAAGAAAAGGGGAACCATTTAACACAG